CGTTGCCGGAGGCAACCGCCAGAATTTAAATATATTTTTCTAAAAATTCGGAACGCGTTGCAGATAACGCGTTGCCGGAGGCAACTGTCAGAATTTAAAAATATTTTTCTAAAAATTCGGAACGCGTTGCAGATAACGTGTTGCCAGAGGCAACCCCCAGAATTAAAAATTATTTTTAAAAATTCGGAACGCGTTGCAGAAAACGCGTTGCCGGAGGCAACCGCCGGAATAAAAATGATTTTTTTTTAAAATACGGAACGCGTTGCAGAAAACGCGTTGCCGGAGGCAACCGCCAGAATTGAAATATTTTTTTTAATTCGAAACGCGTTGCAGAAAACATGCGGGCCGAAGGCCCGCATGTCGATTTTATGCTTAATTTTAAAATTTTATAACTTTTGAAGTATTAGTCGTAGAAAGATGGTTGAGGTGTCATTCGATGGGGAATTGAATGAGGAGTTGAATGAAAATATATTTAAAAGTGTCACTTGAGTCTGAGGGTTGGACATTTGAGTCTGAAGTTTTCAAATACTGGGAAATTAAGCCAAATTGAATTTTTTAAATTGTAATACCGCTGGAGTCAGCCTTTATACCCAAAAGCAATTAAAACTACTCAGCTATTCGCGCCGAACGCTGGTTATCTATATATAATAGTAAAAAGGCAGTCAGCTAAAAAAAAGTCCCCAGAGCTTTTGAGTGGGCGTATCGGGGTGGGGTTTTTTGCTATAGATGCGCAATACTATGTAGTTTTCAGGAAAACCTCCAAAAGTTGGGGGAAAGGGGCGAGTTTTTTAGATATTTTGAAAAAACGTGTTTTTTCGTATCTTTGAAGTGAAATTTGAGATGAAAGATGAAGTCGGGGGAAGTTGGGTCAGTTACAAGGTTGAAGCACCACAACATGGAGAATATGATAGAAAAAAAGTTGGAGTCGTTCTGACAACGGGAAGGGTAGTTGTAAATATATTTTTATTTTGAAAAAAAACTTTGTAGAAAAAGTGATGTCGAAGGAAAAGACGGAGAAAGGGGAATGGGGGGAGAGAGGGGGGGGGGGGGGGGAAGGGGATTTTCTACTAAAAAAATAATAAATAAGAAACCAGTTTTTAATTGAAAGAGAAAAGGAACAGTAACGACAAAGTTCCAATCCTTTAATTTAATTTGTACTAATTGTAATTAAGCGAGTTTTGTCGGGATTAAGTTGGGTAATTAATTAATTATTTTTTTAATAAATAAATTCTTTATTTTATTTATTTTTTATTTTTATTTAATCATCTCCCTTAAATTCCCCATCCAAATTTATTATTATTTTTTTTTTAATTTTTCCTTTTTACCACACACTATTTTCTATTTTTTATATTTTCATGAATTTTTGTGAAATTCACGTGAATTTTATTTTAATTTTACTAAAACTATTTTTTCTAAATCTTTGATCTTTATTTTTGTTAATTTTGGTGCAAATATTGCGAATTAAAGGCCCTTAATCTTCTCTCGAAATATTTTTTCTATAAAAATTTTAAATAGGATTAGATATACATAATTTGTTTTTAATTATATTTCTTTTCAAAATGTTATTTTCCAATTAAAAAAAATTTTTTTGGAAATTTTTTTTTGTTTTTAATTTTATTTTCGCATTTCGGAAGCAAGACTATTGGAAACAAATTGCCAATACTTCCTTAATTTATATTAAATGGTAATTAGAATCTAAAATTTAATTATTTTAAAAACCCTTCATTTTTCTTTTTTATATTTTTATTTATTTCAAAAAACTTTTTATTTGACGTTTTTAATCATTTTATTGTCATAAACTAGGCGGTAATGATTAAAAAAGTTCTTTGAAGTTCTTGAAGTGAAAAAAAAAAAAAAAATTCTTTGAAGTGAAATTTGAGATGAAAGATGAATTCGGGGAAAGTTGGGTCAGTTACAAGGTATCATCTTCAGAACATTTGGAATATGATAGAAAAAAAGTTGGAGTCGTTCGGACAACGGGAAGGGTAGATGTGCTGAAGACAAACTTTTATGTCAAAGTGGTAACTTTGGATTTAAGGTGTTTAGAGGAGTCGGAGCAAAAAGTGGTTGGGAGAAAAGTTGTAGAGCGTGGTGGATTTCATAAGAAAAAAGTTGGTTTCATGTTGATTGGATTAATGGAAAAAAAGATATGGAGTAAAAAGTGCGTTTTTGAGGAAGTTGCATATAAGTGACCTTAACTATATTTTGTTTTGGAGATAGAAGAAAAGTATTGGGAAATGAAAGATAGAGAATTAAATTCTGCATCGAATAAGCTTTGTTTTATGTTAAAATGTGTTTTTTGGACCGAGTTAAGAATTTTTTAAGAAATTAAAATTTTGGGGAAAATTTTTTAAATTTGCCGATCTAACCCGTCCGATCTGGAAAGTTAAGCAACGGTGAGGCGTTTTTTGTAACTTTTGAAGTAGTTATCGGAAAAATATGATTGAGGTGTCATTCGACGTGTAAAAATCAAGCGAATTTTTTGAAAATTTTTTGAAGGGGTCACTTGAGTCTGAGGGTGGAATATTTGAGTCTGAATGCTAAAATCAGTGGAAATGAATTTAAAAAATTCTAAAAATTAATAAGAATATTAAAAAATGAATTTTTAGTAAAAAGTACACTTGAGTCTCATTTATAACTTTCAGTCTGGGACTGAAAATTTTTATAAAATTTTATAAAAATAAGGCAAATTAATTTATAAGTTAATTTTACGTTTAATTTAATTTAAAAAATTCGTAACACGTTGCAGATACCGCGTTGCCGGAGGCAACCGCCAGAATTAAAAATTATTTTTTGAGGAAATCGAAACGCGTTGCAGAAAACGCGTTGCCGGAGGCAACCGCCAGAATTAAAAATTATTTTTTAAAAATTTGGAACGCGTTGCCGGGGCAACCGCGAGAATTAAAAATTGTCTTTTGATGAAATAGCAACGCGCTGCAGAAAACGCGTTGCCGGAGGCAACCGCCAAAATTAAAAATTATTTTTTAAAAATTCGGAACGCGTGTAGAAAACGCGTTGCCGGAGGCAACCGCCAGAATTAAAAATTATTTTTTTAACTCGGAACCCGTTGCAGAAAAATTGCGGGCCGAAGGCCCGCATGTAACGCGTTGCAAAGAATACGTTGCCGAAGGCAACCGCCAGAATTTCAATTTTTTAAATTCGGAACGCGTTGCACTAAACGCGTTGCCGGAGGCAACCGCGAGAATCTGAAAAATATTTTAGTATTAATTATTAACATGCGGGCCGAAGGCCCGCATGTTATTACTATTATTTTTTGTTTTTTTTTTCAAAAATTTATAACTTTTGAAGTATTAGTCATAGAAAGACGCTTGAGGTGTCATTCGATAGGGAATTGAATGAGGAATCGAATGAAGATATTTTCAAAGGTGTCACTTAAGTCTGAGAATGGATATTTGAGTCTGAAGTTTTCAAACACTGGGAAATTGACCCAAATCAATTTAAATCAGTTGTAATAACGCTGGAGTCAGCCTTTATACCCAAAAAGCTTAGTTACTTGTCAGCAATTCGCGCCGAACGCTGGTTATCTATATATAACAGTAAAAAGGCACTCAGCTAAAAAAAAGTCCCCAGAGCTTTTGAGTGGGTGTAAAGGGGTGGGAAAAAAAGCTATAGATGCGCAATACTATGTAGTTTTCAGGAAAACCTCCAAAAGTTGGGGTCCAATGGAGAAAAAATTAGATATATTGAAAAAACGTGTTTTTTCGAAACTTTGAAGTGAAATTTGAATATGAAGACGAAGTCGGGGGAAGTTGGGTCAGTTGATAGGGCACATCTAGAGCATATTTCGAATATGATAGAAAAAGAGTTGAAGTCGTTCGGACAACTTGAAAGGTAGTTATGCCATCCACAAACTTTTATGTCAAAGTGGTAACTTTGGATTTAAGGTGTTTAGAGGGGTCTGAGCAAAAAGTGGTTGGGAGAAAAGTTGTAGAGCGTTGTGGGTTTCTTAAGAAAAAAGTTGGTTTCAAGTTGATTGGATTAACGGAAAAAAAGATATGGAGTAAAAAGTGCATTTTTGAGAATGTTGCATAAAAGTGACCTTAACCATATTTAGTTTTGAAGTTAGAAAAAAAGTGATAAGAGATGAAAGATAGATCTTTAAATTCTGCATCGAATAAGCTTTGTTTTATGTTAAAATGAGTTTTTTGGACCGAGTTATGAATTTTTTAAGAAATTAAAATTTTGGGAAAAACTTTTTAAATTTGACAATCTAGACCGTCCGATCTGGAAAGTTAAGCAACGCTGAGCTGTTTTTTGTAACTTTTGAAGTAGTTATCGGAAAAATATGATTGAGGTGTCATTCGACGCAGAAAAATCAGGCGAATTTTTTAAAAATATTTTCGAAGAGGTCACTTGAGTCTGAGGGTGGGATATTTGAGTTTGAAGGCAAAAATCAGTGAAAATTAATTTTAAAAATTCTAAAAATTAATGGGAATATTAAAAAATAAATTTTTAAGAAAAAGGACACTTGAGTCTCATTTTTAGATTTGAGTCTGAGACTGAAAATTTTGTAAAAATTCTAATTTTTAATACTTTTCTGAAAAATAATTTTAATGTTATTCGCGATGCCTTGAAGTCGTTGCCGGAGGCAACCGCCAGAAATAAAAATTATTTTTTAAAGAAATCGGAACGCGTTGCAGAAAACGCGTTGCCGGAGGCAACCGCCAGAATTTAAATATATTTTTCTAAAAATTCGGAACGCGTTGCAGATAACGCGTTGCCGGAGGCAACTGTCAGAATTTAAAAATATTTTTCTAAAAATTCGGAACGCGTTGCAGATAACGTGTTGCCAGAGGCAACCCCCAGAATTAAAAATTATTTTTAAAAATTCGGAACGCGTTGCAGAAAACGCGTTGCCGGAGGCAACCGCCGGAATAAAAATGATTTTTTTTTAAAATACGGAACGCGTTGCAGAAAACGCGTTGCCGGAGGCAACCGCCAGAATTGAAATATTTTTTTTAATTCGAAACGCGTTGCAGAAAACATGCGGGCCGAAGGCCCGCATGTCGATTTTATGCTTAATTTTAAAATTTTATAACTTTTGAAGTATTAGTCGTAGAAAGATGGTTGAGGTGTCATTCGATGGGGAATTGAATGAGGAGTTGAATGAAAATATATTTAAAAGTGTCACTTGAGTCTGAGGGTTGGACATTTGAGTCTGAAGTTTTCAAATACTGGGAAATTAAGCCAAATTGAATTTTTTAAATTGTAATACCGCTGGAGTCAGCCTTTATACCCAAAAGCAATTAAAACTACTCAGCTATTCGCGCCGAACGCTGGTTATCTATATATAATAGTAAAAAGGCAGTCAGCTAAAAAAAAGTCCCCAGAGCTTTTGAGTGGGCGTATCGGGGTGGGGTTTTTTGCTATAGATGCGCAATACTATGTAGTTTTCAGGAAAACCTCCAAAAGTTGGGGGAAAGGGGCGAGTTTTTTAGATATTTTGAAAAAACGTGTTTTTTCGTATCTTTGAAGTGAAATTTGAGATGAAAGATGAAGTCGGGGGAAGTTGGGTCAGTTACAAGGTTGAAGCACCACAACATGGAGAATATGATAGAAAAAAAGTTGGAGTCGTTCTGACAACGGGAAGGGTAGTTGTAAATATATTTTTATTTTGAAAAAAAACTTTGTAGAAAAAGTGATGTCGAAGGAAAAGACGGAGAAAGGGGAATGGGGGGAGAGAGGGGGGGGGGGGGGGGGAAGGGGATTTTCTACTAAAAAAATAATAAATAAGAAACCAGTTTTTAATTGAAAGAGAAAAGGAACAGTAACGACAAAGTTCCAATCCTTTAATTTAATTTGTACTAATTGTAATTAAGCGAGTTTTGTCGGGATTAAGTTGGGTAATTAATTAATTATTTTTTTAATAAATAAATTCTTTATTTTATTTATTTTTTATTTTTATTTAATCATCTCCCTTAAATTCCCCATCCAAATTTATTATTATTTTTTTTTTAATTTTTCCTTTTTACCACACACTATTTTCTATTTTTTATATTTTCATGAATTTTTGTGAAATTCACGTGAATTTTATTTTAATTTTACTAAAACTATTTTTTCTAAATCTTTGATCTTTATTTTTGTTAATTTTGGTGCAAATATTGCGAATTAAAGGCCCTTAATCTTCTCTCGAAATATTTTTTCTATAAAAATTTTAAATAGGATTAGATATACATAATTTGTTTTTAATTATATTTCTTTTCAAAATGTTATTTTCCAATTAAAAAAAATTTTTTTGGAAATTTTTTTTTGTTTTTAATTTTATTTTCGCATTTCGGAAGCAAGACTATTGGAAACAAATTGCCAATACTTCCTTAATTTATATTAAATGGTAATTAGAATCTAAAATTTAATTATTTTAAAAACCCTTCATTTTTCTTTTTTATATTTTTATTTATTTCAAAAAACTTTTTATTTGACGTTTTTAATCATTTTATTGTCATAAACTAGGCGGTAATGATTAAAAAAGAGTCAATCATCAAAAACCTTTTTATTTAAAAATTCTTTTATTTTTTTACCAATAAAGAAGAACACTCATAAATAAATACTTTGAAGAAATATATTTTCTCATAAATTCCTCAAAAATAAAAGGGAAATTGGGAAATTTTGATAATAATAAAAATATTTTGCGTGACTATTTTTTGCATAAAAAAATTTAAAATTATTTAAAAAATAAATAACAAACTGTTAAATACATTTATTCTTTAAAAATACATTTTTGGCCATTTCTCTAAAAATATATATCCAACACAAAAATTCTTCAATCAATTTTAGGCTTTAATATTTATAAGGTCCCCTTTATTTAAGAGAAAACTTTTTAGTAGTCACCTGTTTTCATTTTTTCTATATTTTGTTAGAAATATACCTAATTTTATTTTAAAAAAAGCTTTCTTTATCTATTTATTTAATCACAATCTCCTCTCTTTTTACGCGCATCTAAAAAAGAATTTTTATTTAAATGACAAAAAACTTAAAATAATAAAACTTTGTATATGTTCCTTTATTTTATTTTTATTTCCCGCATTAATCGAGGCATTTCTTTTATTTATTTTTTTCCTTTTCTATTCTCGCGCATCCATCAAGAATTATGTATGTGGAGAAATTAAGATTTTATGATTTTAAGAAAATAAGGGAATAATTTTTTAAAAAAATAAAAAAGTGAAATGGTTTACGGGGAGTTTTCCAAAAAAACTGTCAAAAATATAAAAATTAAAAAATACTTGAGAATTCTCATTTACCGTAAATGTTGAAATAATTACTCTCTCAAATGACTACCCTCTCTCAAATAATTACCCCCTAGTTATTTTATTTTAACTTTAAAAATATGTAAAGAATTAATACATATCAAATTTAATTATTGGAACATTTTAAGACTCAATATCAAAAAATAAATTAGTTTCACCTCAATTGGATTACCCTAAATCCAGTACATCCTCTCTAATAATTACCCCCTTCCAGCGAGAGATTGAAACAATAATTACCTAGGGTAATTTCAGCATTTACGGTATACCATTTTTACCATTTATTATATTTATTATCCAAAAAACACTCCAAAGTTTAATATAAAAAATAATTTGTCAATCAAAATTATTGGCCATATAAATAAATAAATAATTTTTTAATATTTAAATTCTTTTCTCAAAAAATTTTTACACAAAAATCTGTCAATTTTTCTCGCGCATGTGCTTCCCCCTTTTTATTTTAAAAAAGTCCCTCCATATTAAAATAATATATAAAAAAGTTTTTTTAAACAAACAACACAAAGGCAGTCACTCAGAGAATTTTTTAAAATAAAAATTTTTTTTATTTAATGGCCCTCTCCTCTATTCATTCACTTTTCTTTTTTTAATGACAAATTTAAAATATAAAATAACTCTTTTTCTTTTTAATTTTTATTTTTAGACGAGAAATGAAGAAAAAAGGGAGGTTTTTTGTTGATTTTTAGTCTTTCACTCTTTTTTTTAAATAAATCCTTATCTCCAGTATTTAAATATATTTTGTTAAAAAAATTAGTTTTTTTGTAAAATAAAATATATGAAATATTTAAATTAGGGTAGCACCCCGACCCTTCGGGGTTCCGTTGGGGTTCTAGGGGTAAGGTTGCTACCCTAATTTAAATACTAAAATATTTTTTTGGAAAAATAATCTATAAATATAGGTTTAGGTATTGAAAAATTTAATTTTTGAAAAATGGAAGACGGGAGGTAAAAAATACGGAAATTGACGGGGATGTAAGTGAAGTGAAGGGAATTAGTCCATCCCCTGTAAATAATTTTGTATTGTATTTTAATTATTATAAAAACGTTAAACGGGGACTTGGGAGTTAAGAAAAACGGGAGAAGGAAGGAAAAGTGGGGTAATCTCGGGTAAAACTTGGAGGAAATGATCTTGGAGCAAAGATATACTCGTTAGCTGCGGGTAAACGAGGAAGAGATTTCTTTTTTCTTTACGCAAATTTAATATTTTTTTAGGATTTTAGAATTTAAATTTATAATTTTAAATTTTTTTTAAATAATTTAAAAATAATTATTTGAATATTTTTAAAATTTTAACCAATAATTTAAAAAAAATATTTTATTACGTCAAAGAATGCTAAAACAAATATATACATATTTCTTTTTTTTTCAAACCCCAACATTTTATTTAAATTTCCTTTTATGGATTGCGAAAATATACATTTATGTATACCGTATTTACTCGATTAATTCCCCTCCCTTGAATAATTCCCCTCCCTCGAATAATCCCCCATGCTGCGGATGGATTGAAACAATAATTCCCCTCCCTTAAATAATTCCCCCCTCAAATAATTCCCCATATCTATAATATATTTATCAAAATAATAAAATTGGTGATTATTAAAATAATCGACTATTAAAACTCGTTCTAATGAACAAATCGATTTCTTCCCCAATACAATCGAGATACAGTATTATCTCCACAATATGCAGCACTTTCCTCGTCATTCAAAAACTTGATTTTGTACACAGTTCATAAACCGTTAAATACCTTTCCGCCAATACGATGATCGGGTTTCAAAATGATCCAGACTGGGTGTTCCATGCTTATATGTTCCATGCTGAAGGATATAAAATATATATCCCTTAGTATCGTATCATACAATGACTCCTCATGTGGCACTATAATCCTAATACTCTCATATTGGGGTGGATAAAGGTTCAACTACACCCATAATTTATATGGTTCAATGCTGAGAGATATATCCATGCTTATATAGCTATATACAATAGTATATAGAAAGGAAAGAAGGCAGAACGCCATAACTTCATACAGTTTTTCAAATTCAGGAATGAGTTGAAATAATAATCCCCCTCCCTTGAATAATTCCCCTCCCTCGAATAATTCCCCATGCTGCGGATGGATTGAAATATTAATTCCCCAGGGGAATTAATCGAGTAAATACGGTATACATTATTGCCGGGTTGTTAAATTTAAAAAAATTTTTTTTAACTTGAAATGATTGATTATTAGGTACAATATATTAAATGAAAAACGCCCAAATATTATTAAAATTATAAGGAGATTTTTGATGTTTTGAGGAATTGTGTTAATTCTTGAATAATTTTTCTTTTTTTTAAATGCCACTCTTATTAATAAAGCTGTGATAGTTAGGCACGTAAAATCAGTGAAATAGGCGCCTAAAATAGGCACCAAAAAGCCGAAAAAGGCACAAAAATAGGCATGAAAAAAGGGTTATCAGACCTATAAAATTAAAACAAAAACAATAAAATACCCATTTATTCATTATTTTTTAAATTATAAACTAATTATTAAACTCTTTTGCCATTTATTTGTCATTTTGAGTCATTTTTTGTAAAAAACTGTTTAAAAATGTCGATGATTGACAAAAGGGACATCTTGCCCAGCCCTCAAAACGTCCCACCCCAAAATGTCCCAACACCAAAACGTCTTATCTCAAAATGTCCACAGAGTAAAAATACTTATTTCATCGAATTATAAGTTATAAATGGGAGTGGGCGTAATTTTTTTAAATCTGGGGCTGA